CATATCAGTATACCCCTCCAGTCTCTGAAGAAGGCGGTACTGCCGAAACGTCAGTTACTGTCGTATTGTATTGTGTTTTTCCCTGGAAGTGAATGTACGCTGTATAACAACCTCGCGATTGTTGGACAAGAAAACGACGCATGCATATTCCAATGCCCAGGTTACTAGAAAGTCGATCCTGGGAAGCATTACTGAAACACACGTTTTCCATGGATGATATTCAGAAATGAACTGAACCAATGGAAATTGAGTGTGCTAGATGGTTCGTGAACATGGCTCATATTATACCCTGCATGACCAACTACGGAAAAATTTCTTCGTTACCCTTAAAATACTGTGGATGGGAAGGATCAAACTTAAACATGGCTTCTATACCTTTTTTGTTTTCTAAAAAAAGCATTTGTAGAGAAGCACTTCAGACTGCAAACTTACCTACATTTACATAAACTGACCGTTCTCGCATGTTGCAGAGATCCGAGTGGATCTTCATTTAATTCGCTCCATTGCAACCGTAACCCACCCAGACAGCCGGCTTCGTGTGGGAGCTCAGCGAAGTATTGAAAATTTGTGGTATTCTCTTCTTACTAACGTGGTGAATGTGGTTGTCCATGCGCTTCTGTGCAATCTCCGCACTCTCGTGTTACGTTGTCCGAGGTAGTCGCCGGTCCATGCGTATGAGAGAAAGTTTGCTTTGCTTGACAACGATTTTCGTAGGATAGAAATGATACCTACGATCGATCGAGTAGTAAATCAAATTTAGCACCTGGGGTAAGAAAATCGTCGTAAGTTTTTGGTATGTACAATCAAAGAACTAGACCCCAAAAATGTGTTTTGAAAATACCCCCTATGTTGATTATTTCATGGCACTTCCGTTTATATTTATGAAATATTGTGACATGGGTAGAATAGGATTTGTCTTTGGCTAAAAGCTGGCAGTGCCAAGATTTTAAATCGACTTTCAAAGAAATTGAAGCGAAGGTTCATTATCAGATGGAACCGTCTCCTTTTCATTAATTGTGACTAAAAACGCCTCTTAATAAGTGCAAAATATTTCAATATAGAGTTATTTTCTTAATAAGAACATCAATGTTGTCCTTCGAGCGTGTTAAAGCTGTTCACTTGAAGTAAATTAATGTATGACATACAACAACTGTCCAGTAGTAGTACTTGTCTTGTGAGGCATCCACGGTCCAAGTGTCCAGAAACTTTCGCAGACGTGAACCTGAATATGAAATTTTATGTTGACAATAATAAAGATATAAAGTGGTGCAAATGTTGCACTAGTATAAATGCTCTGCTTCGACAGGGTTTGTCACTATATACGACTTGAAAAAAGCTCTCGGCGTTGATCAATCTCTGTGGGATGAGCCGTACATTAGACTTCATTAAGCACCGTTTGAAGGTAATTGAATGCATATATGTCCTTTACAATAATTCGCTATGGCTTATCGTGTATCGAGCAAGTGTTGCTATCTTTCCAGACAGATCTGGTACCAATTTTCCGACTCCGGAGGGATGGAGAGTTTGGTGGGCTGGGGGCGTGGGGATGGATCCTATGTGTATTGCAGAGCACCTCCGTCCACTGCGCCACATGCGCCACTATAGAGGACTTACTATTATATAATTGTGACCAGGCATATTTATTCTCGCTGTCAGAGAGCGGATTGAACACGGTACGAAATCAACATAGGTGCTTCCTGCTTCAGCATAGCCACCGACTCATCCATTGAGAAAACGACCATGGCAATGAACTTGCCATTAAAACTTGAACAAATTGTTCTGCCATTAGAGGAAAACCTCTACGGAACAACATTTAAGTCGGGAACAACGAAACATTGAAGAAATTCAAACTGCCTTCATCTTTAATTCATCTAACATCTAATAAATATTGAAACAGATGAATAGTGAGTGATGTGTTTGCTACGTGGGTTTCAAGTTTTTGGGTAGATGAACGCTAACACTAATGGGCGCTGCTATGGCTTTGTCCAAGCAAAGAATATCCAACCGTTTTCTCTTTACACATCTCAGGTCCATTATTTAAACTACAATGGGAGAGTCTCGAACCAGTCAAAGATACTCTGCATGACAATGCTGCCGCTTAGACAGAGTTGTTTATGCCAACACGCCTGCCGGTCCCGACTACTGAACTACTATTAAATACCGATATGAATTTTGACGAAAATCTTTACTTGTTGTAGAAAAAATGGACGTTCTTCCTCGTGTGAAACTCATAAAGGAGCCAAATTTGGTAGATTAGAGGGCAGAAATTAGGTACAGTTGGTTGTTCAGGAGCCTCCTCAGGGACCATGGGGACTTCGGTAGTCGTGGTCTTGTTTGATTCTCCACCAAAGAACGACGAGAAGAAATTGGAGCCTACGAATAGATCGCTCACTTGCTGCTGTACTTACATCTGAATGTGTTCTTGGTAGACTCTCTGCTTCTTCTCGAACACCTTCAGCTCATCAATTTTGATTGGTGTTAGGCCATGTGCATAAGTTTGACCGACGTAAACCTTGTTGTTCTAAACTATGCATCCGTCAAAGTAGAACTGAGTGGTACCTTCGGCGGAGCAGGATGATGGCTTTTTCGCTGCCTTTGGAAGATTGTCTAGTTTTCTAATCTCCAGTGACTTCATCTTCTTTCCAGCCACACGCGCCTTCAAATTTTTCTGATGTTGTTCAACGGCTTGCTTAAGGTTATCTTTGTATTCGGCCATCTTATTCTGATAGTTTTGCAGTTCCTGCTGTTCGATTGGTGTCACTCAATTTGAATCCGTTTGCACAGAGCACATTTCCCGTATCGACACACCCGGTTGAGCAGCCGACTCCTTCACTGACAGCGATCGTTGCAACGGTAAGCCGTTTCTGCCTAAGAGCAGCAGCAGCGATGGCGACCAAAAAGCACACAAAGAGCAGCTTCATCTGTGGGTACTGGGTTTAATCCCAACTCTTCCTTCCCAGAACTTCAGAGTTCTGTGGACAAAAAAGTGTAGATTCTATTTTTCATATCTTTACTAAAAACGCTGCGTTAGAACTGACCTCGAACATCCTAAAGTTGTTGATAAAAAGAAATCAAACTGACCCAGAAATCGCGAAACGCACGAATGCTGTCGACTTTCGAACTACTTGGATATTTAACGCATTCGAGTTTCCGTTTTCCAAGAATTAAGCGCAAAAGGATAAAGCTCTCGGCGTTGATCAATCCCTGAGAAATGAGCCACACATTCAACTTCATTAAGTATCGTTTGGAGGTAACTTAATTCATATCAGGCCTTTAAAGTCACTCGCGGTGGGCTATCGAAGCATCGAGTCAGTGCTGCTATTCTCCCATACAGGTCTGGTAGCAATTTGCCGTTCCCAGGAGGATGGAAGGCTCGGTGGGCCATGGGTGCGAAGATCGATTCCGCAGTGCGCCTCCAACCACTGCGCCACATGCGCCCACACGTTTCCATGAATACCCATGTCAAACTTCAACTGTTCAATCACTTGAATACATATTCTGCTACACTGAGCTCTCATATACTAATGTGAACGGTTAAATAAAATGCTCAAGTGAATGGGAATGAAAAGTGTACCTTCAACTGGTTGCTCGTCCGTAGTCGGCGGTGCAGTCGGCTCGGAGACGTTTCCGCCGAGGCCGTACTTGGCCGTCTGTGCTTCGTAGGTGTTGTGTACACGATTCTGTCGTCGAAACAACTGAAACACATGAGACGAACCTCAGCATTACAGCGAAGAGTTCATCAGAACATCAATGGGATAAATGTCTTCGTTTTGCAGTATTCCTGAAAAGCTTGGTAATGCTATTCTTTTAGTATTTTTTTTTTTGCAAACTTCTCGAAACAATGCTGGTCTAAAGTTGGTTTCGCGATGTCTAAATTTTTGGAGCCAATTTTAGACGGATGAAATGGATTTATAAGCAATTTCACTATAACGTATCAAACCGATCATTGTTCCTGATTCGCTGCTAATCCGAATCCATTTTAAACCCACGAATTATCACTAAATCTAAACCTGGTAGACAACAGGGCTACGGCACGCTATTTCGCTGAGCAGGAAGAGGTAACCGTAATCTCTCTATGATGTAAACCTGGTTTTGAAGGGTCTTTGAGCGCGTTTGTTCAGGTTTGTGGAGAACGTTGTCGTTTGTCGTTTCTTCGTGGTTCCGCTTTGCACGAAGCCTTTACGCAGGTCATCTTTGGTTTTTAGCATACATTACATTATTTGTCGTATGTACGTGCAGCGCAGGGCACGTGGAGCACAGTGGTCGGAGACATCCTGCAGTACACATGGGTTTGATCCCAACACCCAAGCCCCATCAAGTCGTCCGAGAGGTTAGCAGCAGTGGCTTGGTACACAGGTAGGCCACCGCGAGTCATCGTAAAGGCCAGATATGCCTTCAATATTCAATCACATCCAACGATGCTTAATGAAGGCGAATGCATGGCGCATCCCTCAGGGACTGATCAACTTCCAGGGCTTTTTAGAGTTTCATTTCAGGATACGATCAATAACAGATCACCTTTCCATGTTACGCAGAAGAAATGGAGAAGAGGCTTTCTGATGACATTGTTCTTGCCTTTCATCTAACTCAGGTGATGTGATATTCATTTTCTGCCCTCCCAACTCGGATGTGCAACTCCACCTTCCGCAAGCTTCTGAATTGTTATGCACGGATCTGCCTTATTTAATGTTTTCAATTGGCCATCAATGATAATGGGCAGCTCCAGAGTCTTACGGTCTTCAAGGCTATCATCACTCCGTTTTTACTTTTTATTTGCTGCCTACTACAATTTTTTACGGCACGGTACTATGCGATATACAACCACAAAGATGCTGAGATATTTGAAGAACTTCAGACCGCAGGCAGGTGCAGGTGAACCGTTCACCACCACACCATGTGGGTCCTTCGTTTCGCCTGTCTCTCAGCTAGTTCTATCGATCAGTGTCATCAGCAATCATTCGTCAGTGGGATTGATTTGGAGAACCAAAATCGGCAATGGACCCAGGTAAGGGTACCAGCGCGTTCGTTCTCCACCGTTGGCACCTGCAGTCCGGAGTTTTGCAGATATCTCAGCATCTTTGTGGCTATTATCACTGTCAAAATCTGGAGCCTTTTTTAGACACGAACAAAAAACCCTTTGAAAATCTTCTTCTTTTCGTTTTAGCTTAAAAACCTTAGTCAGACACCAATTAATATAAAAGTAAAAACATAAACCTAGAATGTGCTTTAAAATGGCACGGAATATGAGTACAAGGCTATCGAATTTCTGTTTCAAGTGAAGAGTTAGAGTTCGAAAAGATTGTGATACTTGTGGAAGTTTTCAAACAGCAAATCTACTTCTGTTTGACCTGGGTAACGGCAGAAACTGGACAAGTGAATCGGACGAGATAGCTCACCCGTCTAACGAGAGGTTGTTTCCCAGCGGCATTCGGTGGAGGCAGGTCGGGTATGGCGCCGTTCGCCTGCTGTACTGCTCCATTCGGTCCGGCGCCGTCACCATCCTGGTCCGTGGCACCGACGGCCACGGCTTCGTTTCCACCTGGATCGGTTGCCGATGAAGGAAATGGATTCGGATTCGCCTCAGCACTCATCGGTGAACCTAAATCTCTTCCTAAAATTTGACCCAGTTTCTTGGCATCAAAAGTAATGATGCGTCAATTTAGCAACGTGAATACAACAACAAATTTTTTCCGAAAGTACAACACTTCCTCTCCAGTTTTTAAAGTGTTATTAAGGTGTATGCAAGACTTAATGTGTCAGAGTACTTCTAAGCTGGTTCCGTACAATCGATTTAAAGTAGACAGTTGTAACAGTCTTTATCTGGGAAATATTCCGTTATTCTGTACATACGTGACGAAGGACGATCAACTATTCTGAACATATTCACGATTGATTAATCTTCTTCAAAGAGCTCTATCCAGTATAAAAAACATTTAGGCGCTCCAATAGTTGGTGATTTTAACGTTGTCATTCTGATGTTTCCATCAGGAAGACTAGCTAGAAGAAACCAATACCAGGATCCACCACTGTCCTGGGCATCAGGCTAAATCGCATGGTGATAAATCCTCCTCTGATCCCCAAGTGAGGCGAGTGCCTGTGGTGATGATCACCTGGAGCAGGCTTTGGCTAAGCTGTACTCGGTTATGCTGGGGTCCGCATAACCAGTGAAGACGGACCATTCAAGCATCCAAGTAAGTAGACAGCATAACTCGTATATAATGCCGAGATATTTGCAAAACCCTGGACCGCAGGTGTATGCGGTAGGGAACGAACGCGCGCTATTGTCCTTACCGGGGAGTAGCGCACTTCACCACCACACCATCCGCGTCCTTCGTTTCGCCTGTCTCTCAGCTAGTTCTATCGATCTTTTGCCATCAGCAGTCACCCGTCGAGTTATATTTCGCAAGATACCCTGCCATTAAAAAGAAAAAGGAAGTAAATAAAAGGGTTAAGATTGTAAGTAGATAGTGATGAGTGTGACAAATCGTGTAGGCATCGTGGCTGTGAGACGTGCCTATGGTTCGCTCACGCTTCCACTTTCCTGCCGTTGTATTGAAAAATAAGGTAGAATATTCAGCTACGATATACTCCTGAGAGGCGCGTGTGGCACAGTGGTTGGAGGTGCCACTGCTTGGGATCGATCCCTACGCCCATGACCCACCGAGCGATCTCTCGATCCAGTTGACAGGTGATTGCCATTATGGTTCCTTGGAGTCCCGTGATCAGCCTGGCCAAAGCCTGCCCCAGGTCTTCACTACCACGGGCAGTCGCAGTCCTTGTGGACCACAGAGAGATTTACCACCATGTGGCTTTGATACCAGGACGGTGGTGGATCCTGGCTTACTCTTAGCTAGGCTTCCTGATGGACGCCGAGTTCATTTTCAGCTTGGGAGACCCTAGCAAGGGATGAATCCTTCGCTGTACCTCGCAGCCTGACCCCCAGGAACACCTCCAAGCCACGATGAGGCGGTAAACCGTTGAGAGGATTTGGTGGATTACATAGTATTAATTAAAATCCAGCATATGGAAAAATGCCAGCTTTGAAAACCACCCAGTTTGGCGAACAACCCACTTTTAAAATTTTTTCCATATGCTGGATCTTCATTTATACTATCTAATCCACCGAATTTTGGTGCTACTGTTACATATATACGTCCACGCTTTGTGGGAGGCGAAGTCGCCGAAACCTCAGTGCAACAAGCATCAGTGTTGCAGCAACAGCAATATGAACATCTGTACCAACCTTGTGTCGGTTAAAAGAGAGCACTTCGTAAGAACAGATTTACAGATATATCGATTATTACGCCGAGGTTTATAGAAAGTCAATCTTTTGAGTGAATAACCTCGTTTATTGAAAAGCGCGCATGAATTTGATAAAATTCCCTGCTGTGGCTGATATTCCAGCAAAACGAATTCTTAGAACTACTGCTAGCTAACCGCTGTTGAGCGGCGCGTGTGGCGCAGTGGTCGCAGTGGACACGCACGTGGAATCTATCCTAGCGCCCATAGCCCACCAAGGCAAATTGGTACCAGATTTGTCTGGAAGGGTAGCAGTCCTGGCTCGGTGCATCGGTGAGCCACCGCCAGTCATTGTGAAGGCCAGATATGCATACAGTCACGTCCAAACGATGCTTAAAGAAGTCGAATGCATGGCGCATCTCTTGTTGTTTAATCAACGCCGAGAGCTTTACGCTTTTTTCACAGCTAGTTTAGGTAATTCTGAGTAGCGTAGGGCAGAATTTCGCTGGGAAAGTAGTAGTTCTTGCATGGAAAATTGGCCTTCGAAGACCGTCCATTGTGAAGCGCCTCTTGAGTGATTTTGGCTCGTTCGTGCTATCTTCAACCACGTTCAACCAAGCCGCTGGAAATATCACGGCGTAGCAGGAATATCCAGATGTTATTGGGAAAATTGGACAATTTTCAAAAGATGCTCTTTTAGTGGCAAATAATTGAAAGACCTGCCATAAGAAGTTCTGGAAGAGAAATTCTTTGTGTTATTTTTCACCAGTTTTACCAGTTTTGACTGTACTACCGCAATAGAAAATTAGAAACGCAACTATGAAGTTTTGCTAGGCTTTCTTCCAGCTCACTGTTTCAAAAAGGGACGTAAACGTAACGAAGACTGAGCACTACGCCATCCATAATACTAAAGCTCAGTTTAATATTTGTGAAGGATTTTTCGTGACTGAGACGAGAAGTGGATGGTAGAGAATAGTGTCTCAGATAAGGAACAAATTTGTTGAAGGACGTTGCTGAAGGTAACTCCTTCAAAACAATTGTTCAGCCAGTTGGTGATCACCGTCTGTGCACACTCTCCACAAGGAATATCGCATCATGCCAACATCAAGGACATTACTATTGGACCATTTGGTTGGGACAACAAAGCTCACTAGGACTGCCCAATTTACTTATGGAGCATGTAGTGCAAGTTCTTCAGCAAGATCGTTTGTGACAAGAAACTCTGCCACCATCCTATTCATCAACATCGACCACTAAGATGCATTATCCAACAGAGAAACGAAAGCTGTTCCGTTCCCATTGGCTGGTCAGGATACACAAATCCATGCCGAACCTGGGTATAGCAGGAAAATACCGTCAAAGAGGAGGCTCAATTCTTGCTTAACAACTTGTCATGTTATCATTTTTCTTAAACTTAGCTTCCAATAACTTTAGACTGATTCAAATAATGTTCTTAAAGCATGAAAATCGCACAGTTTTGCTTCATTCTTCCAAAAGTGCATGCACGTATGGTTCATGGGGTTCCGCACCTATAAGTATTCGTCACGGAGAAGCTTGCGAAAGCCGATCGGTGTTGGGAGGGCGAACATTTGAGGGACACAATCGGAAGTGCCCCTTCAGAAATCGTTTGAGGAAAAAAAAAGGGGTGGAATTGTAGAAAACTCAATATCCACCATTAAATAATCGTCTTTCATTTTATATGGGTATTACATGATTTAAACGAATATTAGAGAGACTTCTGTCGTCAAGTCAGTGCTTGGTTACACACCAAAATGAACTTCTCAAGCACTTTTTAGAGCAGAATATGCAACGAGCGACGATCATGAGTAGCTTTGCTTTCGGTAGATGAAATCAAGTGATCCAACGTCTTCAATCTTGGCTAAATGATCGCAGCAAACATGTAGTACCATGAAATTGATGGAATTACGTAAGAACTGAAGCATCCAGACATAGGCAATAGAACAGTTTTAAGCCACTTGAATTAGAACGCTCGAACACACGTTGCAGAACTAACGTTACAAAAGTTGAATCAGTCGGCTACGAAACCTCGCGTCACCTATCTTACTCATTAGAGAGAACCCTCGCCAATCGACTTTGTAACATACACCTATGCAAATTCTTCTAGAGGAAGATATTCGGTGGTCGGTGGCCAAGTTACTGCCGAAATTATCTCCGAAGTATCCATCGTTTCCAGAGCCCCAATGTTACCCTAATAATTAGGCTTTCATCTTGTTCGTGAAAATTCCATAAACCATAATGGTTTTCTCATCTTAGTAATTGGATTGTTTTTTTCTGTTTGATTTCAAGGAAATTGGAAGGCTTATGTAGAGAGAAGAATGGTTAACTCGCACCAATCAGTGTTTCGCTCCAATTGGTGGATCTGTAATAGACGTAGAGTTCATCCGCATATATCAGATTAAGTTCGAACAAGAAAAAAACGGCGAAAACTTTGCGGAAGAAACCCGCAAGAAGATTTCTACGCCGAAGTGTTCATGTTGAACACTTCCTTTCCACATTCAACCTCAATGATGCAGATTACTCAACTGCAAGTGAAAACTACTGGATCACTGTTTTCAGCGTTACTAATAGCTCTACTCATTTTGGGATATGAAACCCTTAAAATCAACGAATTTCATCGTTGAAGAAAAGATATGTTGGATCCGCTCTGCTTCAGAATAGACGTAGCTAGTTACTGCTTTGTAGAAACTCGAAAGACCGACTTTCTATGAACCTCGGCATAGATAGTTGATATATTTATTTATGTGATCTGATCTTCTGATCTGAAACTGATCTTCTTAAGCTGACGCGAGGTTGGTACAGATCTTCCGCACGTAACATCACGGCTCTGAGGAAGGCAAAGTCGCCGAAACGTTAGCCGTCGACCAGCAACATCAAAACCAACGACAATGACAACGAAGATCTGTACCAACCTCGCGTCAGCTTAAGAAGATCAGTTTATAAGATCACATAAATGCTTTGTAGTAACTCTGCAAAGGCTAAGGCAAAAAACAAAGCACACCAACTTTTTCGAAAAATAAAGAAAACTCAATGGCTAAGAAAAGGCTATTCTTCAATTCAAGCAGATATAAATTAGTACAGTGTTACTGATGTATTATAAGCAGATCCGTTTTCTATGCAAATATGGGAGAAATTAAGTCAGTCATGGAAACAGAGGAGATCGCAATAGATAGTTACGGATGGGATTGGCCGGCTTGAGTGTCGCTCTCACAAATAGCTTCAACGGCATCCTTGATTGCACAGGAGCAGCGGAACTCGACCATGGTTTGAATATGGCAATGGCGATTTTCTCGACAACAAACCATGTGTTTTCGATAGCTAGAAGATTTTGAGG